CAGGCACAGCAGCTGTTGCCATTACAGTCCTGATAGCATTTCATTTATTTTAAACCCCTGTCTTAAAGCTTTAATATCCGATCCACCCTAAATCGCTTCGTTTGAAGGTGGCAGCAGGGGGGATCATCTAGTAAAGAACATGGAAAAAAAAAAAGGCAGACAAGTCTTAGACGTCATTTTTATGAGACAAAGCTCCTTATACTTTCCCATTTAAGACTGGATGTCCCTAATTTTCTAGAGCTGCGATAGAAAAGAGACCAAAATCCTGGAGACTTGACAGAGGTCAATTTTTGCTAACAGCAGGCAGGTGGAGAGCAATTTCATCACCCAAAAATGATTTCCATAATGGAGTGAGTGCCCTCATTGACACTTCCCCTTTCTGAGAGCCATCCTGTTAAATAGAAAAATGGACAGTTGCCATGGAAATTTAAGAATGAAGTCTCAGGAATTTATGGTGATGTGGATACAAAAGAGGCAAGAATGTCATCAGGAACTGCTAAGGGGAGGTTGGATAAGCACTGGTTTCCCCTGTTGCCCATAGATGTGGGACAGGGTTTTCACTGCACAGGGGGAGTGTGGTGGAGGCTGCAGGAACAGTGCAACTTGCTGACAGGGAAATCAATTCCTGCATCTAAGAAATGAACAGATGGAGTTCAGGATGGCCCAACAGGCAGCTCACTGAATGGCAAACTTGAAATAAACACAGAGACCACATGCCCTTGGAAGAATCCAAAGACATTCTGCTTGATAAAAGCCTGTGAGGGGTCAGTGGGGAACATTCTCTTCAGTCCCAGTGTGATTTAGATCAGCTTCTCACAGATCCAAAGTGCTAAAATAATAAGTAAGATTGAAATCTATTTGGTTCTGTTGAAACTGAGCTTTGGAACCAATTTCCTGTGTGACCACAGATTTTACAGAGAAACCAAGCTAAGTCCCAGTTTCTGTGCATGTAATCTGGTGAAAATACAGAATATATGCAGCACTGTGCCAAAGCCCAGCACCTCAGCTGAGTGCTGAGGATGGACTGAGTGAGGCAGCAGGGCTGAAATGAGCTGGCAGTACCAACCCCATACCCTAAAACTTTTCCCACACATATCTATTAAATCAAAGCTAATCTAAACCCCAAACAAACTCAAGCAAATTCCTGTCACTTGATGTAACACTTGGAGAACTAAGAAATTAAACCAGCATGGCAGATAAACTTCTGCAACAGCCTGGTCCAGACAAAACAATTATCTCTAATTTTGTTTTCATCAGATCATCAATCCTATGTGCAAGAAAACCCCTCCCTTCACACTCCATAGATGTTAAACACTCCCACAGCCAGCACATCCCTGGAGAGGTTAGTGTGTCATCCCTCATGGTTCAGCTGGGGAGCAACAATGCTCAAGTTTGGTGCCTGTGCTCAGTCACACACAGCTCTGGAGTACGAGGGACTTTCCTCACCCTGAGCTGGGCTACAATCCTGCCTCATCCTGGTGGGAGGAGATGACTCACTGTTTGTTCTGCAAGACTACAAGGAGACACCTTGAAGCAGAAAATGGCTTTGAAGTGCCAGCTTTCTTCCCCGAGCAGATGGCTGGGCTAGGCTGAGGTTAAAGATGTTCATTATAAATCCATCACCAAACTAGGCCAGAGATGTTCAGTGATTACCAGAAAATGACAACTCCTGTGTTGCCTGAGCAACACGGGGCTGCAGTCGAGTTTTGGGAAGGAGGATCAGATCCTTTGCTAGGGCAGAGAGCACTGGATCCAGAACACACCTGGAAAAGCTATATGGCCTCTGCACAGAATGTCTGCCACCTCCAAATGCCACCTATCACCCTAAATAAAATTAGGGTTCACCCCCCAGAGCAGAAACCACAAACTCAGGTAAACTCAGAGCAGCACCACAAAGGGCCCACATGGAGTTATTTTCTTTCTTTCTCTGTGAGAATACAGAGAATAAACACACACACACACACAGAGCTGCAGAGTTCCCACTGCTCAGGCAGCATCTTCAGCAGTAACTCAGAGTGTCAAGCAGGGAAGGGCTGGAGCTGGACCAACCTTCACCAGGCCACTGGATCCAAAACCATTTAGCAGGGAAATCACACTTGAAGCCAACTGTGATTCCTTTTGCCACAACACACTTCAGGTGAAACACGAAGCAGTGCTTTGCTGCACTCACAGCCTCACAAACCCCACACTGGATAATCTGCATCCCATGCACCAATACTGCAGGAATCAGCCTGCATGGAATACTTTCCCTGGAAACAACACCAACTTCTCAGCCTAATGATTTCTGTTCCCTGAAGGAATAATATAAATTAAATATTAAGTCTGTAGTCACTTTCCTGCCATACACTGTAATAGTCATGAATTTATGGCTTGAATACTTTCTGCTTCCATTTAAGACCCGACATTGCAGGGTTTATTTTAATTTAATTAAATCCCTAAAGCAGCTTTTTCTTCCAATTTTTGTTTTAAAGACGATTTTTCTTTTCTTAAAGATGTGGAGAGTTTATCTAACTTTGCACTCACACCACGATACCACACTACTCTTGGAAACAGAATCTACAATTGGATTTTGAGAATTTCCTCAAATTCCAACCTCGAGTTGGAAGTAAGTGCCTGAACTAAATAACAGAAAGAAAGAAATACCTGAAATGTGTTTCTGTAACATTCCCCTGTCACTCTTACAGAACTCCTGAGGTCAGTAAATACAATAACATTTAGGATTTGCCATGGGAAGAAACCAGTGAAACTATTTACAGAACATTTCCTTGTCTGTTGAAGATGAAGAGTAGGGGGGGTTGGCAGGAGTTTTTGTTTGTTTATTTTGATGTGGTTTTGGTTTGATTTTTTAAATAATACAAACGTAAGGTAACTGAATTATTTTGAACAAAGCAAGACAGATGTTGCAGGTTGTTGGTTACCGCAGCTTTAAGCCCACAAATAGTGTTAATTTATGGCCAATATTCCCTGCCAGGGTTTTATCATCAGTGTGTTAAAGTTAAGGCAAGTACTCAACAAAGCAACCCCAAAATAATATTCTCCTGGGAAAACACTTGTCAATCCAATTATGCCTCAGTTTCCTTTTTAATGATATTTACAATCCATGTCTCTCATCCCTCTGGTTGCCCTTGTATTTTTAAAACCATCCATTTCCATGTTTATATGGAATCTTTTGGAGCTCAGAGAAGTGGTTTTTTCCCATTTTCAAGTACACAGCTCATACAGATAAGAAGGGGCACCTCTGTACATTTGCCCAGCTGACCAAAATGACCTTGAGGGTTTTATTCTGGTCATTTCCTCCAATGGACTCCAATTCTCATTTGAATCCAGATCTTAAAAGGATAACGAGTGATATCTATTGGTGAGAAGAGTGACCAGGAGAAGAAAAAGGAATAGTCAAAATCTATTATTTCAGTGATGTCAGCTTGGAACAATGACCTCCCACACTGAAATGATTGAAGTGTGTCTTGCCACCACTGTCTGCATGGACTGCTTTGACTTTCTCATTTCTGAGCTGATAAGAGATTTTTGTGCAGCCTTCTAAGTGACACCTCACATTTCACATTCAAATTAAAGCTCTTGAACAGGCAAACGATGCTTTGGTCGGGAGCAGCAAACTTTAGGAATTCATTTCACATCAATCTCTGCTTGAAACAGGTTGTACCACACACCTGGGTGTGCACTGGCTGACCTTCACACCTCACCCCTGCTCCCAGAAATTGGGGAGAAAGCAGCTCTGAGATCAAACAATGCTCCTTTGGAAGCAAACCTGGCTCTACTGAACAACTGTGCCCCGAGCTGGCTCACTCCTTCCCTGCTGCTCACCTCCCTGCAAACCTTTCACATCCCACAGAACTCCCAGGAGAAGCCTGCTCTGAAGTGTTTATGGGATGGTTTCTGACAAGCCCCAAAAAAGCACATTATGTGCTGCTAACCCACTGTTACACAATTTCACAGGGAGCTCGGGGTGGGGGGTGAGAGCTGCTGGGAACTGGAGAGACACAGCAGAGCTGCTCTGCAACAGAAGGGCTCCTGTTGCTCTCTCAGCTCAAAATTCAATAGTTTGTGGGGTTTTTCCTACTAAATAGGAAATAGTAGCTGGATGGTTGGTCAGCATAAACAGAGCCATGGTTTTACTGCTTTGGTTATTACTGTGGGGATTTGTGTTGCTGCACCATGCAGAGAAAACACCAAACTGGCACTCTTTTATTCTAGTTACAGTCAAGATATAAAGACACAGCAACCAGGACAAAGGGGAAGGTGATGGCAAGATGAGAATAGGGATTTGATTAGAAAACCAAGTATTTTTGTGACAAAATGTATTTGTGGTTCTTCCCTGGCTATTTTCTACAATGCTATGACAAGGCTGTATTGCTCCAGTGGTAACAGGACATGAAATAACCCTTTTTCTGGTGGCTCCTGTGTGTTACAGGCTCCCTGGCACCCAGAGCCTGTGGCAGATCTTACTCTCCAAGAAACTTAATTTCCCAGTGTATATTTCTGGTTCCTTCTTGGAAAGGGTACACAAGGATTCAGCATTCCAACATCACCTTCCCCACAGGGAATCACAAGGACTTACCTCCACAGCGAAGCATCCCAGTGGGTTTTGTCACTTCTAGGTGTGCCAGGCTAAATTTCAGCTGTCAGCACACAGTGGGTCACTGTCTGCTCTAGATCTGAGGTAGGCAAGCAGTTTGCTCCTCTGTAAGACCTTCCAGAACCATCCCTTTGAGGTATCCCAATGCATTTTTATGCTGCTCTAAAAACTGCCCCATTAATGTTCAGCTCTGAGGAAGAACCACAGCAGGGCTGGAGCTGCCTCAGAACGATGGGGGTGAAACGCTGGGCTTGGGCAGTGGCTTCAGGTGTTCTTTATTTTAATATTCTTTGCATTAGGTTTTTGGTTTTTTTTTAAACCCATATGCACACTTCTAAAAGTCAGGCTGTCTCAATGACATCATGCAGATTCGCCTTTTTTTTTTTCTTTCTTTCTTTTTTGCACGGTTTTTGGATCCTCACACATCCCAAGCTCCAGCATTTCATCAAGGAGACATGTCTGCAGGCAGTGTGACAGCTGCTGCCTGGCTCCTGGAGCCTGCCACGCTTTATTTGGGTCACACAGAGGATCTTTGCTTCCCCTTGAAGCAGGTAAAATGTCTGCTCAGCTCTGGCAGGGGGGGATTGCAGCACTAAAGCAAAGCTGGTTTACAAGGGAAATTGTGAAGTGAGAACTTCCCCCAGCACGTTTCTAATCACCTGCAGGCAGCGCTGCCTGAGGGAGGGGAAGGTGAATTCAGCCCTCACTGGGCACCACTGGGACCTCACTGATCCTAATGTGGTGTCATAGTTTGAAATCGGCCCCCCTGAGAGGCTGGGGGGGCTCAGGGGTGATGGGGTGCCAGGACAGTGTTACCTGGAGAGCCAATTACCCCTCATGTTGTTCACTTCTGCTCAAAATCATCTATCACAGCACCGGGAGCTGTTGGCAGCTCTGTCTGGGTTGTTGTGCTGTTGGTGTCTGCTGCGTGTGGGTGCTGGAGGCCAGGGGGTGGCTGAGCTCCCTCTCTCCCCCTCTGGGGGGAAGAGGGGAGCCCTGCAGCCCCCCTAACCCTGCCTAGGCCAGAGTTAGAGACAGCACTGGAGTGAGTGTGTGTTTGTGAGGGATGCGACTCACAAACAACTGGTAAGTGGGAGAGAGAGGCAGGCCCTGCAGCCAGGCCCTCTTCTCCTCCCCCCCACCTTTGCAGCCAAGCTGTAGAGGAGGGCTGTGGTTTTCCCTCTCGCTGTTTAGTGAGAGTGGATGTGAGGCTCAGCATTGGAGCAGAGCCAGGTGGAGAAAATTCCCAGGCAAGAATTGGAGATGGACCCCCAGCGAGAGAGAGGGGCCTGGAGGATGTCTCTGCCGTGAACTAAAACGCAGGACAACCAAAAGCCTGAGGAGAAATCGGGTTTCTCCTAAAGCTAAACTACACTGCAGCAGCCTACAAACTGAGATATGAGAGGGAGAAATCACCAGCAGCAGAAGAGCAAGGACTCAAAGCCATCTTCTTGGACTTCGTGAGGAGAGAAACTGCAACAAACAACTGGAACTTGGTGACGGGGGAGCGTTCAGGAGCCCAGAACACTCCCACGGCAGACTGTGTTACGTGTCAGCCTTGAAAAGCTGCTCCAGGACTAAAGCAGTTAAAAGGAGGGGCTTGAAAGGACCGGCTGATAGAAATGTAATATATATATAGTTGCCTTTAGTTTGTATAGTATTTATTTGTGTAAATAAATGTACATACTTCCCCCTTCCCCTACAGAAGCCTCTGGTCTGAAAGTTTCTCTCCGGTGTTAGGATAATTGTGGGAAGGGGTGGGGGAAGCCTGGAAATTGGATTTTAGATTTCTAATGTGGCTCAAACTGCCACATGTGGGTCATCACAGCCTGAGTAGGGAGTGCAGACTCACCACATCCCACCCAGGGCAGCATCCTCACACAGGAACACTTCCCATGTCCAGTGGGAGATGGAATTACCTCCCTGTCACTGCCTTTGTGGAGGTAAAACTAGAGGAATAATGCAGCCTTCAGGCCACTTTCTAGTCATGGTAAAGTTTGCTTTCCAGCTTTTGCAGGGGATCTTTATGGTGATCACTGGTTCTGGTAATATTTCAACAGGAGAATGTTTTGCTCGTAAGATTCCATCAAGTTAGAAAAATCCCATTAAGAACTAAATCCAAGTTCTGTCTCATTTCCAAGCAATTAGAATTAAATCAATACTAATAGTAGGTAACTGCTGGTGCTTACAAAGAATCAATACTACTAACTCAAGGAGTTCAATACTTCTGAAATATAATTATTATAGAGGAAAATATCGCTGAAGTTTCTTATCCAGAAAAAACCCTACATTGCAAAATCATTTTGGCGTGATGGAGTATCCAGAATAGCAGCTTCCCAAATAAAGCTTTCCTAAGCCTTGCTCTTCAGCTTGTGCTGTGATATGTGGGTGTCAGCTTGGTCTGCTCCTTGCTGTTCTGAGGAGTGCTAAGTTCCAAATATAATCAGGGCTTTCAGGGCTTTGGGTTGGGTTGAGCAAAAAGCTACAAACTATAAAAGCATCTACATCTTCATTTTGAGTCCCCACAGTAGGATGGTCCTGCAAGTAGGAGCAGAATCCAGTAAAAGTGGTTGAGTTTGATATGTGACCTCTGCAAAGTTCCTCAGCCTTACAGGATAAGGACACAAACCCATAAACCACAGGCAGGGCAGATGTTTGCTGATACGTTCACTGATGTCTCACTGGGAAGTTTGGTAGGACAAATCATTTTGTGAACCTCCTGCAAGTTTTGAGTCCCTAATAAGTGTGACCCAGTTTCTTATTCCACGACTGAACAATTTGCACAGCTCTAAATATAAAACTGTTGATAACATATCCGTGTTGGAGGCAAAGGGAGTTTGCTCCAGGAGCTGCACTGGGCAACATGTTGTGTCTTTCCAACCACACCACACAACCCCACTTATAAAAGATGAATCAGGCACGGCTTGTCTCCCTTTTTTCATACCGACACACAAATAAACATGAAAGCCCACGTTGAAATTATAAATATATTTGTGTTCTTTATAATCATGGCACTACACAGTGAAAATCATGTCATTTCGTTTTTTTCTTGAAGGAATCAGAATAGAACAAGACAGTATTGATCCAGAATATCCTCTCACTGTCCTACTTCATTCTGTGTCTGTGTGTTCTCAGGAATAATAATCGTAACACTGGAAGCAGTAAGTGCATTGAATAAGCTGGAGAGCTAAGAGAGAGAAACACTCTCAGCCTGGTGTGACCTCAGCATGGTGCCAACCCTGGGGCAAACTCTGTCAGCCAAAGGAGCAGCTCCAGAGGTGCCAGTGAAGTCAGACTGCCATGGGATCAGAGCCCCACACAGGTAACTGCTCTGAGCAGCCCCAAGGCAGTGCCCCCCTGGCACAAGCACTTGAAAGAGAGAAATGGTGATCTTGGGGTTCCAGGTGGTGACACTGAGGCACGGGCAGAGAGTGATTTGCTGAAGGTCCTCCAGCTGATCCCTGTGGGATGGGACAACACCCAGGAGTGCTGAGTCCTGTTGTCCCTCGTCAGCCCTGACCACACAGGGGGATTCCCTCCTACTGAGCAAGGCAGGATTTTAATCAGAGTGTTTTCTTTTAAGAAATAATAGCATTTAAAGTAGTTAAACAAATGCTACTTTTTATCAGCTCTAATTATTTTATAATAGCATACAGTCCTTAGCTGCTTATTACTATGTTGGTCATTACTTCAAGCCCTCACAACTACTCTAGAGAATAATTTAAATACACAGAGCTTTAAAAAAATATTTCCGTTACAAATATTTTAAAAATATACTTATCCTAAAAAGCTGTCCAGCACTATTCCAAAAATCTCTTGTAATAAATGTCTTTTTTAATTTTAACAAAAATATCTACCATCATATAGAAGAGCTCAAGTTTTGACAAATCTATAGTACAGTCAGAAATATCTTGGGCCAGATTTCACTCTTGTTTATACAGTTGCCAATTTGGATCCTGGTGTTCATTTCAGTTGGGTTATTCTGGTATAATCAGGAGCAGAATATAGCCCTTAGTGTTTTAAAATAACTAAATGGACTGGATACTGCAACAGTTACTGGTGCTGAGCACTACAGGGAGGGAAATCCTTTACTTCATTGCATCTAAAAATGCAAAAGGATGTTATATTTAGTATTTGTGCCATGACCAAAGAAGTGCCAGGCATCTGCAGTGGATGACTCAGACCCAGAATCGTATTCACTTATAGAAAAAAAATTTTTTGGCTGAATGGTGCCTGCAACTGCTGTCATTAAATGGGGGATGGATGTCTGTGGAGAACCTTTGTAGGGAGAAAATGCCAACCTTCCTCTCATGCTTTCTGCAATTCTAGGAATCATCTTAATTGCATTTTGTCACTTAGAAAGCTGTGTGAGTTTAATAGAATCTCCCACTATTAGATCTAGGAAGGGGCTGTTTGAAATTACTTCCATATTTTCCAGCTGAAACGCTTCCACCCTTCCAGTCCTTTTCAAAGTGCATTTAGAACAAGATTTAAGTACTTATAAGAATCTGCATCTCATCAGGACAATCTGGAAACTGGGAACTCATCTTTTAAAACCCTGGAACACTTTTTTTGCCTTTCCCCCCCTTTCCATTTCCAATCTTCAACACTGGAAGTTGTTGGTTTTTTGTTGTTGGTTTTTTTTTTTTTTTTGCTTTTCCTCCCTTTCTCTTCCAGTCTTCAAATTTAAATGCAGTGTTTGATTAAGGATCAAAATTAACCAGGGCTGATTGCATCAGTGCAAGCAAAGCTGAGAGTCCCAACTCTGCCACTGCTGCCTGTGACCATCACTGATTAGAGGGATCCTCACACCCCGTGAGTTCATGGAAAGCTTTTACTCTGCTCCTTTTCTTCCTAGACTTTGGCTGATGATCTAACAACTTATAGACCAAGCAAATTTAAGGATATAGACTAAGTTCAGTCCTCACTGTCATCTTCATCATCATCATCATCCTTGCTGGGAGCACACCTCTGGAAGCAGTGCACCAGGGTGGCCAGGAAGAAGCTGGACAGGATGGCAGCGATGGAGACGGCGACCCCGGAGAAGATGATGATGAAAAGGTCTGTCAGTGACAAACTGAACTTGCATTCACTGAAGCTGACCTCAGATAACTCATTCAGGAAGATCCTCCTGTTCTCCACGGGCAGGGAGCACTGGATTTCGTGGAGACCTGCGAAGAAGAGGAGAGGGAAACAAATCAGCAGAATATCCATGAATCCTTCTGCTGCTCCAGGGCAGAGACTGAGCGGCTGAGGAAAAGTTTTAGGGTTAATTCTGGTTTGTGAGTTTGCTCAGTATTTAGGAAAAATTGGAACAAAGCCTGTCACTGTCCTGAAGCCATTACAGAACCCCCTTGAGCAGCTCCTGGAAATTAAGTTATTTCGCCTCCAAGAGGTCAGGTGTGATCAAGGACCATGATTTGAGGGTTTAAAAAAGCAAATGTGAACGCTGGATGCATCTAAACCTTGAGGCCTGGAAGCAATTCCCAGCTACTCCATCTGAACACAAACTCTGACTCCAAAACAGGGTTAGCAGGGATACTGAAGTTCCCTTGGTGCCTTCTAAACATTACTTTTTTCCCCATGTAGTTCCAAAACTACAGTTGTTTTTCTGGTCAAAACAACAGTCTGGGTTTAATGGATGCTTGTTTGTCTGTGACCTGCTTCCACCTTTTCTCCCTGGCTGTCCTGAGGCCAGGCAGGCTGGCAGATATTGTTCCTCCCTGCATTACTGGAGAATGCCTAGGGCTGGGCTCTTTGTAGTGAAGGCAAAACCCTCCAGATTTAAGAACCTGTGAGAATGCAGGTTGATCCTGGACAGTGAAAGCACACAGTTCACTGCATATGCCCAGCTCCCTCTTCATTCACAACGGGGGAACAGCAGGAGAGGGCATTAACAGGACTGGAATGAAACAAATCCTGAAGGGAGTTCAGTCTGTGGGGCTGTTGGCAGGACAGACTTTTGTCTTACTATCAAGGATAAGAATGTAAAGGGGAAATATAAAAATAGAAGAATTGTGTGTTAATGACACAAGAACTGCTGCTGGGTTATTTGGTAGCTTCCACTCTTTGCTGGTGATCCCAGGATGTTCTCCCTGGTTTTGGCTCTGTGTGCACACACAGGACAGGGCCTTTCCATCACACAGCTCTGCCATGGAACCATTCTGGCACTTTACATAGGGAATGGTGATAAGATTTCCTCTGCATCTGTGAATCCCATTTTTCCTGTGGCTGGATAACAATGGCATGTGATGTCTTACTATTAAACCTGGGCTCCTGGGTTAGTGGTGCCAACCTGGCTGGTTGTCTGGACCCAACCCAGCCCAGCTGTTGTGTTGATTTGAAAAGGAGTTTTAGCTACTTCTACTATGGAACCAGTTATCACACTGACCTTGTAATGGTGATTGTATTAAATTTTGACCCCTAAAAGCCCTCCTGCATCTTTTACATTTCCCTAAAGTTCTTTTGCCTTCCCTCTCTCGTGCTTCTCTCATTGACAAGGTCCTGAGAGGAGGTGCCAGCAGGACAGGACAGCAGCCACAATGCCCAAGGCTGACTGGTTTCCTCCAGGCAAAGCTGCCCAAACCCACAGTGATTTTTCTCTGAGCCTGGAGTGCACTGGCCATGCACAACAGATGGTGAGGAAACTTGCTTTAGAGATCTCTGAAACCTCCTGTCGCTGGCACTGACTTGGAAGGTAAAGGAGGTACAACATCCTCTGAGACTTGTGGAAATGTGAGCCTGCAATGTTCATATTTATCATGTCTTGTACACAAGCTGATCCCCTGGAGCACTGAGTGAGCAGTGACTGCACTGCTGGCTGAGGCAGTTCATACCTGCACTCTCCAGCCTGGGACAGAGCTCCTTCTACAAACCTTCCTAGGAAAGAACTGACAGTTGTCCACCAAATCATATTTTCTTTTCAATAAGACTTGGGAGTAGCAGCTCTGGGGGTGAATGGGATTAACAGCACAAAGTGGGGACAAATGGATATCATTCCCTATTCAAACCCATGAAAAATGAGGGAGGAGAGAAAAGCCATAGGCTGGAATTCCAAGACCTGTGCCTTTTTAACCAGGTTTTAAAAAGCAAACATTTTTCAATAAATAAATATAAAGCTGACAGTCATCAAAGCACTTGCTGCTTTTGTGTAGAAAGAGCAAGAAAATGAATGTAACATGCTGCAAATTCACTTGAAGTTCCTTGCTAATAGGAGAGATCACTGCAGTGAAAGCCTGCACCAACTGAATATGGCACCTAAACAAATCCCATTTGACTTGTAGCAAGCACAAGAAAATAAAAGTTTCTATGTAACAGTGTTTCTGTAAAAGAAACCAGTAAAACAGATGCTGAGACACCCTGAGAGCAGCTGAGCTGTGGTCACTGCAGGTTGAAAGGAACAGTGCACAGGGGACCACAAACAACTCTATTTTTTCTATTTCTGATCCACTGCAAAAGAAATTTTCTGCTGTCCTCACCTGCCAGCATTTGGGACACCTCTGTGCTGGAGTGGTGAGATGGAGTGTCAGGTCTAAGCTTCCATAGGGAAGGAAATAGTAAAAATATGTTAAATATATTAAAAAGAAAGAGACAGAGCAAAAAAGACCCCAAAAGAAAACTGTTGTTCTGAGCAGTTCTGCACAGTGCAGCTCTTGCATCTAAGAAACTACTTACTCTGGTGGTGTTTCCCCAGGATCCCAGAGATGGAAATGAGCCCACTCAGCCATTCCCAGCAGCAGTTCTGCCACGGATCAAAGCTGAGCCTGTGGACTGTGAGCTCTGTTCCTCCTTCCCTGATGCTCTCACCTTACCTCACTACACCCAGAATGCAAACAGAAGGGAACCTGCAGCACACCAAGGCACTCAGAGGGTATTTCTTGTTGTGAGAATCAGTGTACTGCGAGGATCTGGGGACTGATGATACAATAATGAGAAATAAAGAGGGTCATCTCCGTGTAGCCATGGGGATTGGAATCTAGGTCATGTTCTCAAACCAAATAGGTGAGATGGGAATTTACTACTTGTTTTGTTGTGTGACACCACGACAGGCTCAGGTTTTTACAGAATTCTTTGTCATTGGGAACAACAGATGCCAAGAGGTGAAGTACAGGGGCCAGTGAGAGCCTTTGCTCACTGCCAGCTGTAGCTACTCTGTGTGTGCACCATCTTTTCAAGACAACAGGAACAAACTGCCCTCTCCTATCCACACCCAGGGCTGCTCCAACAGTGCTGGGAGCAGCCTGGAAGGGCTGCAGAGCTGGGTGGCAGCACAGGGAGTGACCGAGGGGAAGGAACGTGGATTAGTCCCTCCTGTGGGGTGAATGTTTCTCTTTGCTGAGTCGTGACACTCTTGACAAACCCAGCACAGTAACAGAAGCTTTGCTTTGGACTCCCAGGGGAATTTGGAGCAGACTGTTCGTTTGGAGCAGCAGGAAGACTGGCGGCTCTGTCACTGGTGGAACAAGGAATTCCTCCTCCCAGAGTTAAGGCAGTGGTTGCTGCACCGCAACTTCCAGCTGCTGACCTGAAAACTTCATGACCTCCAGGTCACACAGGTCTGCTAGAGGTGACAGACAAACAAAACCATTTCATCTGCCTCCTTCCACAGCAATGTGGTACTTGCTCTACATTATTTACAAGTAGGTTTTCCTTCTGCATAAGAATCCAGAGTGTGTGGAGAACTGATGGGCTGTTCCCCACCTGTCCTACTGCATTGGTGCCCAGCAACAGAGCCAGTTTTTTTCTTTCCCTGGGCAGGAAGTAGTTCCAGGTCATCATCATACACCCTCTGCATGAACAGTGATCAGTATTAATTAGAGAGTGTAGGTTTTTTCCTCTATGTGATTCTGTTGCACATAAAAGTCACCTGTCCCCTCACACAACACTTCTGGAGGACAGGAGATGCCATTTAACCTTGGTGGTTTGCCCTCCCACACTGTAACTAGAATGGAATTAATTTTTATATCTTGTTTGGGGGTTGGGTTTTTTGTATTTTTTGTTTGTTTGTTTGTTTTAATCTATTTATTCTGCAGAACCTATTTATTCTTTTAAAAAACCAGCCAGGCTTCTTGTAAAGGGCATCTCTTGATATTTAGTGCTTGGCTGCAGCAAGAAAGCCTTTGATGACATTTATATATATCTACCTCATTGCTCCCACAACATATTCAAGGAGTTGCTTCTCCATACCAAACAAAACTGTAAATGAAATAACAAGTGTGAGGGTGCTATAAATACCCAGCTCGTGTTATTTTGGTCAGGGCCATCCCATTATCTGTAATAACTCCAGCTGTCCCAAGGACAATGTCACACACTCTGTATCCTTCTGCTCTGTCATCTGAAGGAGCAGATGCATTTCACTGGCAAGCTGTAAATGCACTGATTGCTTTGAAGTCCCAGTCAAGGGACAGGTGCTGGATTCTAGACAGGCTTCTCTTAACACTGAAAAAATAAGGATGAAAATGCAGGTCTGTACCCTGAGGAATATGTTGGCTCAGTAACACGGGAAGTGTGAAAAGGCTGGAATTCCAGAACCATAATACTGAAAGGAGAGGTTTCTTTATAAAAAGAAAAAAAAAAACACACGTGGTTTTTTATAAAGAAGTGATGCAGGAGGGTCCCAGGTGGAGTTTATTTCAGTGAAATTCCCTTACAGGGTTTAGAACAACATGACTTTGAGACACCTCATGTTAGAGCAGTGTAACTCCACTGAGTCAGGCACTTAAACCCTACAATGGATCCCATGCAATTAGGCTGCTGCTGGATCCCAAGGAACACTGTGCTTTTGTTTCTGGACCAGGCACAGGTTCACTCAGCTGAAATCCTTCCCCTAGAAAACAAGTGCAGCCCCAAACCAGTTTGCATGCAATTAATAATTCCCTTGTAAATGAACAAAAACAGGCTGACAGTGCTGCAGTGCCCCAGAGCTGCAACTTCCCAACTCCAAAAAGCCCAGGAAAACCCAGCTCCCACATTCCACTGGCATTCATTCTGCTGGGGCTCTGTGGCCACGTTTCTCACAGGGACTGTGTGATTAGGAGTTTTCAAACCATCGAGGGCACTGACATTGCCTTCTCCTGGCTGTGCCCTGGGTTTTCCCTGCATGTGTTGACTGATGCACTCTTGTACAGAGAGTTTTGGGTTATATTCCTCCAGCTACACACAAGCACCAAGA